CGCGTAATCCTGTTTGTTATTGATCAATTGGCATTTGGGATATTAATTGCTTTATTTCATATATTAGGCGGGAAATGCATATCCACCCACTTCTTCATTTTATCTGTAAGACCTAGCCTATAAGTACCAAGTTTCAACACTAATAGATTAGCCTGCATCCTTTGAGGATTTTTCGGACTTGATCGATTGCGACCATCGGCTGGAAGACGGTATTTAAGCGGGGCCCCGATGATTGGTGAGGACATCATCGGCCAATGAACGGCCTTTTATCGGGGCCCCCATGATCGCTGTGGACATCATCGGTTAGTGAACGGCCTTTCATCGGGGCCCCTATGATGGGGCAACCGAATTCCGCCCAATGCTCGGTCGTGTTGTAAAGGTCGGCAAATGAAATTTTAGACAGGCTCAATTATGTGGGAAAAACTTCAAGTAGGCGACCATATCATATTTTTGTGTACCTCTGAGGTTTGCAGTTCCTACCCATACATTGAATTGAATAGAAGCGAATGTATACAAAATATAGAAATTATAGACCTTCAGAAGGGAAGGGGCGAGGAGGGAAAGACTCCGTCTATCTAATCAAGCATAAACAATTACTAACTACTAATTTTATGTTCTGACTTCGGGACAATTAATTTCATACAACCAGGGTCTGCGGCACATTTGAAATTAATTCCTACAAGTAATGGGTGAAAAATCGATTTGGAGGGAAAAATTAGAGGGTGTATAAGTAGTCATGACCAAAATTATTATTGAGAATTTTTAGGTAGTGATTCCGTAGTTTTTTTTGGTTTTTATATGATTTAATTGCCGATAGTTTTTACGGACCGCTTAATAGCCAACGCCAACACTCATTTTCTGTTTAAAATCCCAGGTTTGGAAAATATTATTTCACGTGTTTTTTGTAATTATCATGCGTCAAGTTGTTTACGAATTTCTGAGCAACGATTGATAAAGTGACGTGAAAAAATATACGGTTGTCAACTTGTATTCATTGTTCCATGGAGTTTCATCGCCGTGGAGGAATATTCCTAAGTTTTTAGTAACCTTTCGCAAAAATTGGTAGAACTTTACAAAAAAAAATGAGAAAAATCAACGCACGACTAAATAGTGAGTCATTGCATAATAATGAAACCTAAAAATGGTATATTTTTTTACGTCAATCCAGGGTTCCGCAAAAATCCATAAAAAACATGAAGATTTAGAAAATGTCGGCAATATGTCCTTAAATCCCCTACTTAAGTGCTTACCAGAAAAAACCAGGATTACAACTTAATTTTATGCAAATAATTCAGAGACGTGCAGATTGATAAATCAAATTCGTTCGGGGGCTACGCAGAAAATATTACGCTAGTGGCAATCTAATCGGTTTGCATGTGAGTATAATAATCCGATATATGAGATACCTGAGATAGTAATTAAGGAAAGTGACGGTCAAACGTTTGATTTATCGTGAGATATCACATAACACAATTTTTGAACTCTTCGTACGAAAAGATCAGATTCTTATCTTCTTTCAAATATAAAATTTCTAAGTCCATAAAAATTCACAATTAGGTCATATTTTTCGTTTTTTTTGTGGAACAATTATTTTATGGATATCTTCGACTGAGATGACAATTAACTTCTCATGCAATGTATAACGATGTATCTAAACAAAAGTGCAAGCCCGTTTTGAAACAGCGTAATGTTGCTGTTCGAAAAAATATTAGATTACACCACTTTCAACGAAAAAACGGCTGCGAGCCTTTCCGACAATATAATCAATATTGCGTCATCCACAGTCGTGCACATTAAGCTCGATTGTCGTCATTGTTAGATCTTGATTTCACATGCGGTTATGAACACTTCAATAAAATCAATTTTTTTCCGTAACAGAATAAACTTAAAACGCATTGAACAACACACTAAACCAAACCGTACTATCAACGAAGACATCTTCAATTAGAAATGAGTATTATAACAGTAAATAAAATGAATCAAAAATTTTCTTTACCTGGGCTTTGCCAGAAAAAGGCAGTAATCCGATTCGTCTCAGTATACCAGGCACGATAATACAACAGTTTTTGAACTTGGCAACAATTTTAAAGTAATTTGTGAGAAACGAATATTCCAATGGTTATTTTAAGCAGCCTTTGTAGTGACTTAGGGTTCTTTATGAGTTCGCGTGGATACTTGTCCGATGAAAGACATAGTCGGTATGACGAGCGGACGATGGAGGAACGTGGATAATAATTTGATCGGCTTGACGTGACTGGAGCCTCCTTCCACCGAACATTGGTCATTGTCATGGTCGTTGTGAATGAGCAGTGTTCGGTGAATGTTACACGGACAAAAATAACTTCTTTTAAGAAGTATATCTTTGCTTGTATTAAAAAACACATATTCAAAAATTTGCAACTAACTGATATGTTTTCCTAAGAAAAAAACACTTTAGTCAAAGAAATTAGTAAACACTAAAAACTTAAACAATCCTTTTCGACGCACTGTGTATAATGTGAGATTTTATATATGCACCGCGTGTGTAATAATAATTTATGAATTTGCTGAATAACAGGATTCAATTACTTTCATATTCAATAGAAGATCAGAGAGATAAGCTGAATACCATTCAGCAACAATCGGAAAAGATTACTGGTAGTGCTTGGCAACTTTAAAATTTTTTTTCGATTATTACCATTACTCATTGAAGATCAAATTGAAGACAGTAATGACCACAATTGGAGAGCGATACTTCTACTAACTCGAACGATCGAAATCACTATTGCTTCAGCAATACATACATCTTGCCTTCCCTATCTTAAATCTTTGATCAGTGAATTGTTTAGTTTAAGAAATAAGGTTTCTGTTCCGCTCCGTCCAGACCATCATTATTTGCAACATTATCCGCATCTTATTTTTAATTTTGGGCCTCTAATGAAAGCTTCAATCAGCATAGATTTTTCAAGAGAGTTATTGGTAAAACTAACAATTTCATTAATGTCACCGAATCACAATGTAACAAACATGGGTGGGGAGCTCATGTTTAGTATAGACGTGAAAAGTATTCATAGTTTTTGTAAAAATTATTACAATGACGGGATAAAAGCGGTTGCAAACAGCACATATTACTAATAATTTTCAAGAATGTAGTTCATTAATATTCAAAGGCATGTTTACGGAAAGGCGATGCGTTGTTTACTTCATATGAAGCATACCAGTATAATATTCAAATAGGCAGAGTCGTCACTCTTCTCTATGGTGATCTAACAGAAAATGTGTTTGTAATTGGGGAATTTTTGGAGAATACATTTCTACCATACTTACAAGCTTATGGGCTCGGATCATTTCAACAATATCGTTGTGTCAATCTGAAATTGCTACACGGAGAGAAATATTTAGTAAAAATTACGGAACTTTCAGTTCACTTACCGATTACGGAGTTGATTCGAAAATTTTAAGTGGCGGTATCGTTATTTTTCACTGATAATTCAGATAAAAATTACGGAACACCGCGAAAAAATTCCGTGACTTTAGATAAAAATTACGTGACAGTTCCGTAAAATTTCCGACAACCACATTTCGCTCCAGAATTACGGAAAATACACGTAATTTTTATTGAATATTTTTTCAGTGTACCAAGTAATGAAAAACTTCATATGCATAATATAGGATCCGCTATTTACATAAAACCAAGTAAAGGTTCAGTTCATAACAGCCTGAAAATTTAAGATAATTTGAATTTCGAAATACAGTATACACGGGAAGATAGATTTTAATAAGAAAAATTATGATGTGAAAATCGTAACCGCGGACAAAATCGCGAATTCCGGGAAATATACGTTAATTTTTTTTGGTAATGGCGACTTTGATTTTTTAAAAATACATTTCTTTATCCAAACATCACGAATTGGAATCGTAAAGAAAAAAGAAAGAAAATTTCGATGTACATATTTAAAAAAAATGTTTTTAGGATCTGAATAATTTGTCAATGGAATAGGAGAGAATATAATTACTTTCTCAAATTTTACGGTTCAAATTTGATTTCTTTTTTCCGATAGCGGAAATAAATTGAATACTATGTTCATTACATTAAGTTGCGGTAATGAAGTAAAATAAATCCATGTTTTTATCTGTTATTCAGGAAAAGAATAACTTAAATTTTCAACTAACCGGAATTGATAATTTATTGACAATTTTTGTTTTTTACGGAAAACGAGAGATAAAATATTTACAGCCAAGATATTAACTGCTGCAGCGCCCTTGAATTTTTACATGCGAAATTTTCATTTTTACGATGTGAACTCACAAAATATCAAAACAGCGAGTGATGTTTACAAATCGGGTATAAGGAAATAAACAGAATTCTCCATGTTCGCGTTTTTTCCCTTCATTATCGACTCATTATTTTCACGATGTGAAATTGGTTTTTATCGCGACGAATGCTCGCATATGTTTCTGACATTTTTAGGTTTTTTTGGAACGGAATTTGCATTTTTAATATTCTCTGATGGCACAAATCTCTGGAATTGACTTCATTTTTCCGCCAACACAATTGGAAATTTTCTTCATCAATGTAATAAAAAAAAAGGAATTGATTTGGAGCTATTCTTTGTATTTTCAAGTTACGATTGACAATAGTAAAATGGCCAAATCCTTCATTATGGTCCACCGTTCTAATTCTACCCATGTAATTTTACGATTCGAAAATCGTAAAATTAACTAAATAAATCGTTCCATGTAGAAACCCAATATGGTTGTGTATATAAGTGGCATTGAAAGCTTATGATTGAATGCTTTGTAGAAAAAATTATAAAAATGCAACATAAGTAATAATTTAGCAGAAATAATGAAAAAAAAGATAAATATTATATTCTCAATTGCTGTTTATCTCTGTTAGCGGTTTAAGACGAGAATGTCACTATTCAACGTAGTATCACACGGACGAACAGGCAGATTCGCTATCATACTATCGACTATTACTGAAGTTGTGGCAAAGGGAATCGAAAAACTGAACTTACCTGCAGTAACATATCAGGTATTCATCTAGCATTGGACAATTTCTTAGAGATTAACACTTGTTCTGCTTGCTTCCAGGAACTTTTGAAACAAGATGGCACGGTAATTGATGAAGATGATATGTTAGTTGCCATGGCAGACACATCAAGAGAAACTCTTGCGCTCATGCTTTTACAAAACTCAACTTGATGACAGTGGAGCTGATCCAAGTTCGCAACGCGTACCACAAGGTGGAAATAATTTTTGTGAGCCCGTATTCATTAATAACTATAACTACTAATAACTAGATACATTTATTTTGTATTTTTTCAGATGTTATAAGTACTTCACTCTAAGAAACGAACAAATTTTCGTCACACTCTGGGGGATAATTCCATCAGACATCATGAGACAATGTCACGAAGGAGTACATGCTTATGAAGATCAACGGAGGGAACTGTTCAATTATATAATGCAGTGGGTGATATGAGCAGAAAGATAAAGATAGGGAAAAAATGCCCGCGAATCCATACAGCTGATATCAAGTCCGATGATGAAGCTGAGGATAACCCTTCTCCTTTGAAAAACAGAAAACACGACGAGTGTTGCTGTGCTGCAGGAAAACACGATCCGGACTTACTATCAAACCAGACTGTAGAAACACTTGATGCCAAACGATTTAAATTAATCGTTCATCATAATGATTCGATCGATCCCAAAGATGAAAGAGTAGAAACAGTACTGAATGATAAATATGTAACTCAAAGAGAGGCATCATTGCCCGCTTAAAGATTGAAGCTACATTTTTCGCGAAATGGCCTTCCTTGCAAAATAGTCCTGCACTTTTCCATCAGGCTGGTGAATTGCTGAATATTATGGGTGTTCAAGAGAAATGGCATATGGCACTGCAGAAGTATCCTGATTCAAAGTTTAGTAAAACTGAAGTTTATTAAAGCTGAAGAAATTATGAAAAATTTGTCAAAAGAAAGGAAAAATTGCAGATGGTGACATGTTCGTGGAGAACACTCAGCAAGCCGCTCGAATCGATAATTATCACGAAGAGTGATATACGATTGATTGCTGCAATTTTTCCACTAATTGTTTATCATTTGAGAGAGACCCAGATTGCGTTATGCCTGATAATTGATGTTAGGAATTGATTGTTTCTTTTTAATATAATTCCTCTCGATTTTTATTAATTCACCATCATTTTTTAATAGGAAAGCTTGACTGAAGCTGAAATAATTGAAAAAGTACAGTTTCCGACCCCAATATTTGTGGTAAAAGGTACGTCATAGACGTGTCATGTATCATTACGTTGACGCGTGCACTTATTCTCATAAACAATTTCTCTGACAATCTGGGATGGTAATAGCAACCATTTTCGATGCTGTTTCAGGAAAATCATTAGGTAGGGAAGATGTCTTATTCCCATTGATGAAGTTCTTAATGCAATTTTGTTACCGTATTTCACATCCTACATTTTTCAATTCTGGCATCCGAAAGAGTTAGCTAGGTAGGGTAAAAGTAATATAAATATAATACCTGGGTGAAGGTAATACACAAGTTAAATTCGTCAAATTTCATATTTCTTCGTAGGTCAATTATCGAAAATGTATTTTTTATTAAGCATTCTAGAATTAACTTAACCACCAAAATTGACTACGATATCATATTCTTCAGTCTTTGATAGTTGAAAAATGTCAACTGAAATTTAATGCCGTCAAACTCGTAGATTTTTCAGGTATCTTTTGATAGTCAATCCACTAGAGGGCTCCAAGAAAAGAAGTAAGAAACGCGAATCGACGACTGTCGATCTGAAAGTTGTCAAATTCATAAATGGGCTTGAGCGATACCAGCAGGACCCATAATCTTGCTTTGCGGATATTTCCGTCAAAGCCGATGGAGCATGTCACATGAAATTTCTATTTTTGTTTTTATTCAATATTTTGCGACGAATTTCGGAAGGTCCACGAAACCCCCCCATCCATCACTCGACTCTCTGGCACCAACAACCCCAACAGAAAATGAAAAATAGAAAATGTTAGGCGCCAAGTCTTTTAACGGTATGACCACCATTATCAAATCCTTCTCCACTTTCAGCTTCAGCAGTTCCCGCAACTCAATACGTAGGGATTTAAGTGAAAAGCTGAAAGGGAATGCAACTGGGTTTCTTGGCAAAATAAATTAAATATTAATATTATCGCGGAAAATAATATTTAATAAATTGAAGTCTATACAATATAAGAAATAATAAACAAAATCCCCTTGAATCAAGTAAGCGTTACTGAATGAACAATTGAATTTAAAAGTGTCGCTGTCATTGAGTTAAATTAATTATGGTTCCTGAAGTCTATCATTTTACTAAAGAATTGAAATAAATAGTGCAGCAAATTAATCAAAATAAAGTCAAAAATAATATCATAAATAATTAGTCAAAAGAGTAAAAATTAATAAAATATGGTAAACGAGTAAGTTACGAGGCTCAATAGTTACCAGTCGAAAAAGTTCGGATATAATCAGGAAGTTTTAAAAATAGAATGTCAAGATAAATCTAATGACTCGAAACATTAACGTAGCAATCAATAAGTCTACATGACCTCAAACTCTGAAAAAACAAAAGAACATAATTACAAGACAAATATTTTCGAGGTCATGACACCTTAACCCAACTCAACTGAAATAATAAAAAAATCAATTAATGTCGTAACATATGTATCGAAGTTTTTTTTTCAAATAAATCAAAATAAACTAACTTGAGACGAAGAGAGAATGCCACAAAATCACGGACTGAAATGGCCAACGATTCCCTCCTGAAAATTATTTTAACTAATCGACAGTAAAGACTCAGATGTCCGAGACCTCCACAAAATAAACACAAACTCTAGCACTTTTATTAAGAAAACAAGACAGAAGAAAGGTCACCATGCTCACCAAAAAAAAACTGCTCACGTTTTCTCAAAATCCAGTGTTATATCCAAAAAATGTCACTGTAGAACAATCCGTGACCGTAGCGCTGGTCTTTTTTCTGATTCTCACGCTATTGTCATTCTTGCTCTTTCATGAACCCCATATTCCCTATATTTATCTGAAAGTCTATTAAAAAAGCTTCAGATTGGTATCTGATCGAGTCTATTCTGATCATTTTTCATTAAGTCATGACCCCTCTAGGCACATTTTTCTGTTTTACTAACATTGAACTTTGAAATTAACCGGCTAGAAAATCGTGGTTTCAAAAGAAATAAGTGTTCAAACTGTAAATACTCAAGAATTGTTAAAATACTGAAGAATACAAGGGGTTTTAATACATAATATTTATTAAAATATTGAAATGAAGAGACAAATTTAATGTGTCAATCTGGAAGGTTGGAGAATCAACTAACTAAAGAGGGTAGCGAACTTCAGGGAGAGAAAACCGATTGAGGTGATAGAAATATGTAACACTACTCCTCCTTTCAGAAAAAAGATTATCCTTGATAAATAAGTAGACGTGTTAAGAGCGAATGAAATATGAGAAATCAACGTTCTAATATTTTCCTATCTGAGGCGTTTGATCCATATTCTCTCCTAACAACCCAGACGGAAAATATCAAAGAGAATAAGAAATGTATCTCTATTAATTATGGCTAGTAATTAATAGAAGAACAGAAAAAAGGAACTGAAAGACTTAATAACTCATAACTAGCAATCCGATTAACGTGAATTATTTTAGGTGTAGAGTGTGAAGATTTTTGAGTACGGTAAACCACGTCATTCAATTTATTTTTTATCGCATAAGCTCCTTCCCAATCACATTGGGATTTAGGAGATTTTCCTTCAACTCTTCGAGGGTTGAGAAACCAAACCTTTTGATTGGGTTGAAAGTAAATGATATACGATTTGATATCGAACTCTGATCTTGTTCGATCGCTCTTAAAATCTTTAAAGGAATATAGAATCTTTATAAGATTCTACATAATCCGGCAGAGGTTGTGAAGAATTAGGGGGGGAATCGCTAATCAAGTCCAATGGAAATTTTAATACACGTTGTAACATTAACATTGCTAGAATATACTCAGTAGTCTGATGTTTAGAGGAGCGAAATGCAAGAAGAAAAAGGGAAATCCATTTGGACTAATCGTTCTGATTGAAGTTGACGTATTTTGCTAAGTAATTCATGAGAGTTTTATGCAGGTGTTTTACCATCCAATTGGATTGGAGATGAAGAGAAGTAGTCCTAGTCTTTAGAATCCCCAGTAGTTTCATGAGTTCTTGAAAAACTGAAGATTCAAAGTTCCGACGTTGGTCCAAATGAATCCCCAGGGAAATACCAAAACGAGAAATGATATGCCTGACCAAAACTTCAGCTACTGTCGTGGCCTGTTGATTAGGTAGAGTAATTGCTTCAGGCCACCTAGGGGAGTAATCAGTGACATCTAAGGTAAAACGATTACCTAAAGATGATTTAAGGAAACCTCCCAAAAATCTTTGAAATGGCGAACCAACATTGCAAATTTGAAATTCACCTTTCGTTTTAACATGCGGACCTTTCCTGGAGAAACACGTTTTACATTTGGGACACCAATTTTTGACATAAAAATGGCAAGTAAACCAATAAAAGTTCTGACGACTCTCCGCGAGAGTCTGATTGATTCCAAGATGTCCACTACTAAGAGAGTTGTGAGCAAAAGAAAAGCTAGAAGTTTTTTTTCGGGTTACGTCATAAGTCTTTTGAGACTTATTGATGCCTTTACTGTAATAACCAATTACGTTTTCTTGATTGTTCCATAATTGATAGAGAGTAGCGCTAATGGCGAATTGTGAAGCATCCTTGTCACGAATAAAATTATCAGTAGAAGACGGACTAGATAGAATTGGAGAGGAGGTAAGAAGAGTTTTCAATTTATTGAAAGCTGAAAAACAATCATCAGAGCAAATAAAAGGAGTTTTCACCTCTGCGATTTTATGAAGAGGTTTGACGATAGTAAGAATAAAGACCAAGGAAACTACGTAAAGAAGTTTTATCTGAAGGAGCGAGCCAGTTAATTATGGCTGAGATTTTTCCTGGAGAACAGTTCATTCCATTTTCAGAGATCAAATGACCTAAAAAAGTCTTTTGTTAAAAGTTATTTTTTTAAAGAAAAGGCA